GAGGTGAGGGGCTGAGGCAGGATATCCTTGAGATGAGGGTCCTCGGCAGCTTAGCCTAGCAAGCGCCAACTGCCTGCCTGGAGTGGGGTCTGGGGGAGGCAAGTCGCAGGAAGGCCTGGGTCTCTCTGCCTCACCTTCTCCTGGTGCCTGCAGTCCTTGCCCTGAGCTGCCTGCTGGTTCCAGAGCTGCAGAGGAACCAAAACCTCCAGCTCCTCCCCAGATCCCCCATTCCCTGTTTGCCTTATAAACAACTGCCTGCAACTTACACAGGGTGTTAGCCCCCGTCGCTTCGTCCCATGCTCAGAACAACCCGGGGAGGTAGATACTATTATTGTTCCTGTTTATAGATGAGGAAGCTAAAGCTGGGAAAAAGGTTAACTATCCTCCCCGGGGTCACACAGCTAGGAAGGGCAAAGCAGGACTGGACCTTAGACCCTTCGACTCTAATTCTAAGCTTTTGCATCATGAATCTCAGGTAATCATCGTGTCCGTTGTCGTGTCTTATGGCATGGGGTGTCAGCTCTTATCAGGGAGACTGTCTCAAGTACATGGTCTGGGTGGAGAGCAGTACCCAGCAGGAAGTCCAGCAGGGCACAGGAGCGAGCACTGTGGCTGCAGGGATCAGAGGCCTCCTGGGAGGGCAGAGATGCTTGGGAAGAGTTGGGATTGGGAGAGAGTAGAAGGGAAGGCTTTCCAGGCAGGGGCCAACAGCTAAAGCAAAGGCTTGGAAAGTAAGAACCTGCGCAGAACAGTGTCGTTGGCATATAGTAGGTGCTCAGTACACATGTGTTGAATCACGATTGTTGCATGGAATGGTGGGGGTGGGGTGTCAGGGAACGTGGGGAGCTCAGATTGGCAAGAAAGACTGGGTTTGAATTTGGCCTTTATTCCACAGGCAACAGGGAGCCATAGAAGGTGTTAGAGCAGGGGACTGACTTGGCAAAAGCCTAGTTTAGAAGTTTAAGTTGGCAGCCAGGATCAGGCAGGAGCCAGGGTTCCATCCAGGTGGTAGTTGGAGGAATGCAGGTGTGAGGCAAGGGTGGGGCAGGCGTCCTGAAGACCCCCAGGGCCCCAGCAGGTCCAGCCAGGGGCTCTAATAAAGCACAAGAGTCTGTCCCTGGACGAGACTCATGCGAAGTCCCCTTCCAACCTAGGAGAGGCTCCAGTCTCTAGAAGGGGGACACCCCTTCTCCCTGCTGCTGCCAAGTCCTTCTCATCTAAAGACATGAGGCCCCGTCCACTGCCCCCGCCCCCCTCAGGCAGATTTCTCCCGCCCCCGGTTCTCCAGGCCTTGGCTGGGAGGGGATCCAGAGCCGCCTCTGTGGGATGACATCACCGCCCACTGCCCGCCTGGCCTGCGAGCGGTTTCTCATCTGGATACCTGCTCCCAGCTCCCGCCGCCCAGGCAGGCAACACCCTGAGAGGCTGCTGCCAGAGGACCAAGCTGGGAGCCTGTGTGTGCTGGGGGAGGGGAGGGCAGCCAGAAGGACAGAGTGTGTGTCTGTGTGTCCATCCCACAACCTTCGCAGTAGCCTCCACGAAGCACCGCGGCCTGTCCGTGTTCTCTGATGCCTGGAGAGCATTTTCTTAACGTTTCTACCTGTCACCCGGAGTGTCAGCCTTCAGAAGGCTCAGGCCAATTTTCCACGAAGGCTGTAGGGGCAGGGATGTGGGTGTGTGGATTTTCCTCTGCTTTGAAATCTTGCCTCAGATTTTCTTGGCTTGGATGGAAATGAGCTGATGTCTCCCCACTCCCCGGCACCTCCTCCTTTCCTCTCTAGCATCTTCTAGCACAAACCCAGGGCTCCCTGCTGCTCCTCACCTCTGTTTCCCCCCTCCCCTTTCTCCCTTCGAGTTCAGTGGCTGACTTTCCCCGTATTTCTATTTCGGAGGTGAGGCCCCGCCTGGTCTGTGCATATTGACTCAACAAACCAGCAAATCGCTCTGTTCTTCTGTCTGCCGGTTGGTTCGTTTGTTTTACTCATTCATTTCGCAAACGTTCATTGCGTGGCTGCTACCAAGCAGGCACTGTGGTCTGGTCAAGAGAGGTGGCGAGAGTCAACAAGAGGCCCATACTCCAGTCTTTATGAAGCACCAACCGTGTGCCACGTATCTGGGCATATGATGAGGCAGGGCCCTTCCCTGGGGACCAGGCACCAGTGACTTCCCGAAGGCCGTGTACAGAGTGGAAGTTGAGAGCATAAGCGATGGCATCAGGTGGCCTTGGTTCAATCCCACCTGTGTGACGTTAGGAAAATTTCTTGCCCTCATGCAGCTCAGTTTGCCCATGTGTAAGATGGAGCTGCCACAGGACCTGCGCATAGGGTTGTGAGGATCACGTGAGACAGCGCCGGGGGCCATGGCGCTGACAAAGGCTTGTGGTGCCATCGCTGTGATCTGGGCACTCTCAGGACTCGGAAGCTCTGCCCTGCTGTGGAACTCCTCTCTTCTGTTTGTATCTTGAGTCTTCCTTGCCAGCTTTTCTCGCCCAGAGCCCCCCAGCCTGGGTAGGGAGCCCCCTGTATCACAGGACGGAGGCTGGCCCTTTTCCTGCCGGGTGCACTTAAGAACTGCTGTTGGCCATGGAGGCTCCAAGCCCAGGGCCCCGGGACAGGCCCGGCACTGCCGTGCTGTGCCCCAGGGGCACAGTGGGAGGTAGTCTGTCAGCGCAGTGCCCAGTGCTGCCCTGCCCAGCTGGCAGGGGCAGGCACAGAAGCTGGCTGCATCTGAGTGCAGAGGCGGGCCGGGCCCTGCTGCCCAGCTGTTGTTTGCATTTCTGCCTGAAATACAATCCTGGCTTTGGAGGGGCTGCCTGGGATTATGCATGTGCGAATCCATGGGGCACGCCTCAGCTGGGACAGAGTCCCCCTGAGTCTCCAAGGGGCTCAGCTGGGCCTGTAGGGGCCACACCTCCTGGGAGAAAACTGCTGGGGACAGTGGGTTTCTTTCCCCCCAAAGGAGGACCTCTGTGGGGTTTCCAGAGTTCTGTGGCTGTCACCACCTGCCCTAGGGTGGATGGAGCCTCTCCACAGAAGCACCCAAGGACCTAAGCAGTGCTTCTCACTCCTGTGTGCACCCCAGCACCAGCGGAGCACAAAGTCTAAAACTACACATGCCTGGGCCCCGGAACAATTATGCCTGGCTTTCCGGAGCCCAGGCGTCGGCATTTAAAGCTCCCCAGGTGATTCTGTGCTACCAAGCTGAGGATCATTGTGCTGGGAGAATGAGATGAATAGAAACAAATCAGTGGCCATTGTTCTGTAATGGAAAGAGAGAGGGGCTTGAACCTAAAAAAGTACTGAATGAATATGGTTCTGTCCACACCAGCCGTGGGAGCTGGGGTGTGTCTCACACCCTCTCTGGGTCTCCGATTAGCCATTTGTGAAAAGGGCAGATAAAGCATTTGTGAAAAGGGCAGATAAGAGGGGTGTCGCTTGGATGAATGGGGCAGTAAATGTGCCTGGCATATAACATTTGCCAGGTCAGACTTGGGTGTGCGGGAAATGTGGCTGCAGGCTGAGGCACCAGCGGGGCTGTGTGGAGCCTGGAGACCCCCCTCTGCCATTTCTGTAGCCAGGCTAGCGGTACGAAGCCCCCAGCCTTCAAGGAGATTGGCAGACACCTAGTTCAGAGACTGTACTGGGAATTCCCTTTGGGCTGAAGGTGGTCTGGGCAGGCTTCCTGTAGGAGGTGACTGATTAGTCAGTCCCTGACTTGTGGATCCTTTTAGCTCCTAGCAAGGCATGTATGTCTTGGGTGTCTTATTCCCACCCACGCCCTAATGATGGTGGTGGTAACAGTTGAAGCCCTGAGAGGTTCAAGCAGCATGTCCAATGCCACACAGCTAGTGAGCTGAGACAGGCACTCAGCCTGTCCACTTTCCAGCCTGGTGCTTGCTTAATGAATGTTGCACCCGTCCGGTGGCTGAGGAGGACAGAGAAGTCGCGTGCTCTGGGAGCCTGGGGCCCAGCTTTTGACCCCTCCAGCCCATGAAACCGCCAGGAGAGGGCGGCTGGAGGCTGCAGGAGCCTGCCCACAAGCCCCCACACTGCATTTAATGGCAGAGGGAGGCTGAGGCCGTCTCCGTGTGGCAAGAGGGCAGCGGCCAGGCTGGAAACGGGGCTCAGGGGGCTGGCCCTGGGCTCCTGAGTCGGTGAGCCTGAGGGCAGGGACTGCCGAACTTGAGGAAAAGCTGGCAGGGGGCGGGCTGGGCTAGATGGGGCTGGGACTTTCTTCTTGGGTTTCAAGTAAACAGTCTGGGCCTCCTCCCTCCCCTGCTTCCACCCCCTCCCCTGCCTCCACCCCCGGCTGCTCATTCGACGGGTCTCATGTGTTTCTATTTAAGGGTTGCGAGTGAGCCCCGGTGATTGGCGGCCTCAAACCCTCTTGACTCCTCGCCTGGGCCGTGGAGAAGTTCTCTCCCGCGCTCCTCTCCCGCTCCCGCCCTTGCCCGCTCCCGCCCGAGGGAGCGGGGCTGCCTTCTCTCTCTTGCTTTGCAGGGCTGGGGGTCGAGGCAGGAGCCTCCTCCTTGCCTGTCCGGCTTCTCCCATCCGCGCTCTGACCTCAGCCCTCATGGGCTGCCCTCCGTCCTCCCCTCGCGCCCCTGCTGGCTGGAGAGTCTGGAGAGACCATGTCGGCCCCAGGCCTCTCCGCAGACGCCCTCATGCCGGGCTGTGACTAACCCATCCGCAGAAGCTTCTGCTAAGTTCCCTCAGCGTCCGCCTCCGCCTCCGCCTCCTCTTCCCCTCCTCCACTGTCCCCTCCCTAGCCCCCTGGCTCCCATGTCCCCCGGCCCCCGCAGTGCAGCGGGCCGGTGTGGGTCCTTGCTATATGGCCTGTCCTTGGGGCCCAGTGAGCTGCGAGCCCTGGCTGCGGGCTGCCCCTTGGAGCGGCGCTGGCGACGGAGCAGCCTCCCCCGAGGAGGCCGATGGACAGGGGGCGCCCCGGCCGCGGGGCCATGGCTGGCCGCTGGCTCACCGCGTGCTTTCTGCCCTCGCCAGGTGCCGACACCAACGCCGAGCCCATGATCCTGGAACAGTACGTGGTGGTGTCCAACTATAAGAAGCAGGAGAACTCGGAGCTGAGCCTCCAGGCCGGAGAGGTGGTGGATGTCATCGAGAAGAACGAAAGTGGTGAGTGCCCGGCCGGCGGCTGTCCACTTGGCTCCGGCCTGGCTGCTCGGCCGGGCTGGTTTTTGTTCCTTCCTCCTCCCCCACCTCTGCAGCTATACGTTATTTCCATCTGGCAGGGAGAGGGCTGAGGAGGCTGAAGTTTCCCCTGTTGGTTTGGGCTGCAGGCCAGCAGTTTGCCTGGTGGTGGAAGAATGTCTCCCCTGCCCGGGGTAATTAACTGGCTTGTGTTAATGCAAGGCCAGGGCGGCAGCCACAGGTATACTCGTCCAGCCCCTGCTCCGGGTCCCCACGCCCTCTGAGGCCCATGGGGAAGGTGGCTTTCAGCTTGGGGTGCCCAGCAGCAGCTTCCCCTGTCGGGGCCATATTCCAAGCCTGGGTCCAAGCAAGGGCAGGAGAATGCAGCCAGCTGGTAGGGAAGGCAGCCAGAATGTCACCATGGGGTCCAGGGTCCCCAGGCCCCTGGCGAATTGTTTGAGGAAGGGCCAGGCCTGGGGGAGTTGATGAGTGTCTGGCCGGTGAGCTGACTGCCCCCTGCTGAGCTGGAGGCCCAGGACCCAGGAAGAGGGCCCAGATGGGGGATGAAGCCAGGTCCCCAAGCCAGGCGGGGTCCTGCAGCAGACATAGGGGCCATGCTGACAGCTGCCCAGGGGGTGCTGGTTCCAAGGTTCTTGCAGGGTGGGCCAAAGTGCTTTGGTGTCCTTGCCAGCAGGAGTCACAGCAGGTGGAGAGAGGAGAGCCCGGGTCTGTCAGTCCCCAGGTGCAGGCCCGTCCCGCCCCTACAGGGCCGGGGATGGGACTTGAGCCCAGGACATCCATCAGCAGTTGTCCACAGCCTGCTGGGGCTTGAATTGGCTCCTGGGATGTTTTGTTTTAGTTTCGATTTGCTGCGGGGAAGGCCCCTGTGTGCAGGCCTCCTTGGACTGTTTGGTGGACACTTCCAGAGGGGAGGGGCCTATTCTCCGCTCCTTGTCCCACTCTGTCCCCTTCCAGTGTTTTGACATCTGAAAGGAAGGCAAACCAAAGGACTATGGCGCCTATTCTGTAGATAGCATAACTGAGGCTCAGAGAGATTGAGGGGAAGCAAATCTCCCAAGGTTATTCAGAACTGGGGTGCTCCTGATTTCTATGCCTCTGGGGAGGGCAAGGAGCTGCAGGGATGCTGAGGAAATCCCAGCAGGCCTCCTGGGGGAGGCAGGCTCAGGAGAACAGGACTGTGATGCCAGTATAGACCTGACTCATGGCCCTCCTGGGTCTGGGGTCTTCATAGCCTGTTCTCCTCTCAGGTCAGGCTCTGCCCTTGTGTCTGGAGTCATCACCACCGTGGTCAGCAGTGACAGTCCCACCTGGCAGAGCCATGTCCCAGGTGCCCACACTGATCTCCTTCCTGCACAATGTTGCCCCCAGCATTTGTCATGCTAACAGCCCCACCTCCCTGCTCCCAAAGGAAGCTGGCAATGCCGAGGGGGTCTGGCTCTGGAAGCCCTAAGCACCTTGAGACCCAAAGGAAGGGATCTCTGATGGTGAAATGGGAGACCCCAGGTAAAGGAGATGTTTGTTTTGGAGCTTGTACCAGGAAAGTGTAAGGTCAGGTCTTACAAGTTCTGGCTTAGGGACTCTCCTGCCACCTTACCTGCCCTGTCTCAGCTCCGCAGCTGTATACCCCTTGAGCAGCAGGAGGTAGTGAGCCCCTGTGTCTCTGGGAGACAGCCACAGGCCAGGATGGCTGAAGAGGAGACACCACATGAAAGAAAGTCCATCCTGCTTTAAGACCTCCCCTCCCTATCCCATATCCAGGGCCCTGGGAATACTTGGAGTCCTGCGCAGGAGTGGAGTAGGAGAGCCTTGAAAACATGGAGGTCTGTGTTAGGCTTGGAAAAGGTGCAGAGACACTGCTGTCCTGAGGAGCTCCTGATGGCTGTGTGAGGTGGCCCAGGTACCCTGGCTCCCTATTGCCACCTGCGGCCAGAGCCACTCAGTCTGGCACACCAATCCTATGAGGGAGCTTTGTTCTTAGAAGTAGGATTCTACCTTCCAGTTGCTGCCTCGGTGACTTCAGGTCCCTTAACTTCTCTGGGCTTCAGTTATCCCTTCTGTAAGATGGAGGTGACCTTGTGGCTGCTTGGAAGTGGGGGCTGGAGCAACTGACCTCCCCGAACGTGGCTTTCCCATTTATCTGGGAGTAGAGTATCTTTATCACAGAGGGACCTGGAATGCTGGGCCTGCTCATGCAAACCCACCCTGTCTGTTGCTATCAGAAACCAGGACGCCTGGAGAATACAACCAGCTTAACCAGAGAAACTAGCGGGTGGAGGGGAGAAGGGAAGAGGGCCAAACTGCAGATCCTTGGGAGGGTGGTTCCTGATCAGGGAAGCTGGAGGCTGACGGTGGGGGAGTTGGGGAGAGGAGGCGTGTTGTGCATCCTGTGAGCTGGCTTTGGAAGGAGTGGCGAGTGAGGCTTCTGAACTCTGGAACAAAGACCCAATTGTGATGCCTTTGACCCTGGGACATGGTGGGCGTGTTGAGGCATTTCCATTTGCATTGTTGGGCCACAGCCCCAGTCAGCACCATCCCTGCCTCCTGGCCTCGCCTTACCCACTGGGTGCCAAGACTCTGCCTGTGTCCCCTCTCACTCGGCTGGCTGTCCCTCAAGTAGAATGTCCACAGAGGAATCCAGCCACCTCTGGCTCTGCCTGCTCATCAGAACCACTGTGCGTTCTCATGGGTCTAAAGAGACGTGTCTGGAAGGTGATTCTGAGTCCATAAACAGTAACTACCAGGTGCCCGTCCACGTCCTTCTCACACATCATTCTTCTGGGATTGTGGAACAACCCCATGCGGTAGAAGGCACTTCAGCCGTTTTGCAGTTAAAGTAACATGCTAAAAGGTTAAGTAATATCCTTAGAGTCCAAGAGCTGAGATCTCTCCTCAACAGAGGCCAGGTGGAAACCCAAGTTGGCAGTGCTATGGGTTGATCGAGATGACCACAGAGCTCCCTGGAACATCCTTGTGGAAGGATGCTTCTGTATCCCTCCTGTGGTGCTCATAGGTAGTGGGAATTCATGTTAATTTATCCATTGAACTTGGGGGCAGGCAACAGCTAACAGTATCTGAGGAGTGTACCCAGCACTGAGGATAAGCCTATCTTAGGGAACAGAAGTTAAAGAAACCCAAAGCAGGACCAAGTAGCTTTAGGGAAAGCATTTCGATCAAGCAGTGGGCCTGGGGCCCAGCCAGAAAAGGACTCTTTTTCTCCACTGATAAATAGGGACACATAGAGCAGAAAGATTCAGTAGCTTTGGTAGCTTTGCACCCAGCAGGCCATACCAGGGCGTGCAGCAGCCATTGTTGTTGTCTTTGGAAACCCCTCCACCCTTAACATCAGCAGCAGCGCCTCAGAGCCTCCTTTGTAGGACATTTCTTGTGCCCCAAAGACGACATTGGCTTTAGTCTGCAGCAGGCATAATTGGGTCTCATTTCTGGCAGAGTGGTGATGTCGGGGTCCTGACCGCTCTGATCACAGTGTTGAGCAAAGCTGCCTCCAACTTTCCAAGATTGTTTCCTTCTCAGGACTACAGGCCAGGGGAGGAAGTGGGGAGATGAGTCAACAGAATTTTTCCTGACTCAACTTTCCTTCTCTGAGTCTTTGCTTATTTCCTGGCATCAGCGTGATACACTGGGAGTTCTTAAACTTCCTTGGAAGCAGGGAATTTTGTGCTCCCCTGGTCCATCTTTTTTTTTTTTTTTTTCCCACAGACAAGAAAACTGAGCCTTGGAGAGTTTGAGAATCTGAGAATCTTCTCTCCCCTCCAGTGTCAATGCTTTAGCCCCAATTGAGTTGTAAGCAGAGAGCAGAAATTTCACTCAGACTTTCTCAAGAGATTACTGGAAGGATATAAGAAAATCTTACTGAACCCAAGGGTGAGAAGTAAATCCCAACTTTGTAGGCTGGGACTGGGAGCCACAGAAAGTGAGCACAAGCCAAAGCAGCCACTCTGGCTCTCTTGCGTACTACATGGATCTAAAGCACAGCTGTGCTCTTCTCCTAACTGCAGACCAGCCTTCCTTTTCTACCCATTCACCCATGGCAGCAGCTTGTTTGCATGGTGTTGGTTTGTCAGGGCCAGACTCTGCATGAGTTTTCAGTTGAGACAGCTACCAACAATTGACCATGGCCTCTGATCCTCTGAGCACCATATTTGAAATTTGGATCTCATTGGTTCCTGGCTAGCCAATGGATTGGCAGACCGTAGATCAGGTGTCCAGCCCTGGTCCAATCAGCTGTGTTCAAGAGAAGCATTGCAGGATATAAACATGGCTACTTAACGAACCCCTTCAGCAATAGCTGTTGGTGGGCAGGTTTTAAAGAAGGGAGATATTGAAGGGTGGGGGAAGATACCAGAAAACATGGTGGCTGCAGCTATTTTACTTGTTCAGCAGCTGTGTGTGTGATAGAGAGGGCAAAGAATCTGGAATTCCAATACTGGGTTTAAGGTCTAAGGCTACATTGATATAAGTAGAAATCAGTTTGTTTTTTGATGGGTAAAAGGGGGCAGTGATATGTACCCATGGGCTTTTCGTAAGGGAGAAATACACTGTATGTAGTATTCATTTATTCACTCATTTATTTCACAGTTCTTGAAAACTGCCTCTCTCCCAGGCTCTGTGCTAATTGGGAATGTACCCAGGAGGTTCCTGCCTTTATGGAGCTTGGAATCTAATTGACATGAGCCCTCTGGGCACTTAACGGATAGACTGTATTGTGAGGCTAGGATAGCTTTCCAGACTTTCCTTTATCTTAATGGATTTCATTTATATCTTCTATGTCTTTTGCTTAGATTCTGTGCGTGCTAAGGAACCACCTGATTACTAATTCAGACTGCCAAGTTACCCTGCTCCTAGAAAAGAGGTGTCCTAATGAAGATGGGATAGGCTGTTTCTAGAAAGGCAGGATTATTACAATCTGCATTGCAGATAAGTGAGCTAACACTCTTATCTTTGCA